TTAAATGTAATGGACACAATTCTGCACATGTTAATTACAACTGAATTTAATTACAACTGAATTACAACTGAATTTGAGTCCCACTGACATTTAAGGGATTTGACTGCAACTCACTTTTACTATGTTGTACCCAGGAAGTTTATGTCCATATATTTCTAAATTTGTGATAGTTAGCATACTTTTCTGCAAAACTGAGGAGAGGAGGAGATTGGATTTATACCTGAAGGAGTCTCAGGGCAGTTTACAATCCCTTTCCCTTCCCCTCCCCACAACAATCACCATGTGAGGTAGGTGGGGCTTAGAGAGTTCTCTCGAGAATTGCCCTTGAGAGAACAGCTCTGAAAGAACTTATGACCAACCCAAGGTCACACCAGCAGTTGCATGTGGAGGAGTGGGGAATCAAACCTAGCTCTCCCAGATTCAAGCCCATGCTCTTAACTACTACACCAAACTGGCTAACTGGATGTACACTTCACTATTCCTATCACAAATATTTACTTCTGTTATCAGTAAGAATTTCCTGCCCCCAGTCCAGCACGGTGAATCATACAGAAATACAAAGCATGGCCTCTCAGAGGATGGGAAAGCTTACTGAATCCCTGCATCAGGAGGGACTGAATTATCTAATCACATCCTATGCAGCTATACCACATAAACACCAACTTGCAACACAGGTTGGCTGGAAGGGTGCAATACCAGAGAAATGAAACTCTGGGAGGAATCAAATAATGTGCATGGAAGAGGGAGCAGGATTTTGTCAGCAAGGTCTGCCCCTTAACTACATGCATTCATTGGAATGCCTGTCTAGAATCCAGGGTTCTTGATTGCATGGGGTATGTGCCTAGGCCCTGTAAGGTATTCCAAAAAACAAGCACAGATTGGGGGTAGAGTCTGCAATTGCAGTCAAAATGTCAAAAACAGATGACAGGCAGCAGACCTCCCTGTGGTGCTAACTTGGAAATCGAGTGCATCTATCATATTTCAGTGTAACCATACTGAACGTTGGCTCTAAAATCTTGTTCTGTATCACCACATTAAGTCTAACTTCCTTTGGGATTGGGCAGGATATAAACCCAATAAAATAAATAAATAACAGTGAAAGATCATTCTGATTCTGACTAATGCCATCATAGTAGAAAAGAAAGGAGGGGAGAAGCATAAGTCTGGCTCCCATTTTATCATCAGGAAGAGAGAAAGGTTTGACCATCAATACTTTACCAGTGTGAGAACAAGTATGCTTAGCATGCCACAGTGGGATTCAGTGGGATTCAGAGATCAGATTTCAAATGTCAACTCAGCTAGGAAAGTCAACTGGGTGACTTTGGGTCACTAACTTTCAGCCTAAACTACCTACAGGGTTCTTGTGAGGATAAAATGGAGGGGAGAACAAACTATGCTCCTTGGAGTAAGGGTCTAAGAAGTGTCTAGAGAGACTATATAGATGTAGGTTTCGATCCCACCAAAAATCTCTACTCGTGCCCTCTTACAGTGCAAAATGGCCCCTGAAGTGATGCTCCTGAGGGACAGGGGACCTCCAGTAATAGCATGGGTAGAGGCAATGGGGGGGGGATTGCCACAGAGGGGAGAATCAGCAACAGTCACCCCACCCTTTGCACATTTTTGGATATTTTTTAATGTGTGTGTTAGTGTGTGTGCACCTGGAAGTCTTGGCGACCTCTGGTGACTGACCCCTAACTTGGGGCCTGGAGGAGATTCAGAGAGGTGCCTGAATAAAGCCTGCCCCTATCACCTGCCTCTGGTATTTCAAGGAAGTCTCCCCTCCAAGCACTTGCTGGAGTTGACCCTGCTTACTTCCGAGATCTGATGAGATCGGGTTTGCCTGGGCTATCCAGGTCAGGGCCCCCCTTTGCACATTTGATTGGTGGGTTCCAACTCATATAATGCAAAGGTAACCAACGGGCTTTTAAAACTTTTAATTCTGGGAGGTTCTAGTTAAATCAGGAGCAAACAGTAGAATTTAGCTGTTACTTTGTTAAAAAGTTATATGATTTTGAAAATCATAGCAAAGCACCGTAGAGCATAAGACAGTGAGCTAGTGTAAATGGAACAAAGCTCAGTAGTGTAAGAAGAGATGACAGAAATGCAGATTAAAATGGACCAGTCTCACCTGCTGCAGTGCTGAGGTTAAAAACTGAAGTTTAAGATGGAGATCAAAAGCCTTTTGTTTTTCCTAGAAAGTTGGACAGCAGTTAGGTGAAAAGGTAGAGAAGAGAGATAGTGGTTAGATGATGGAGACAAGTCACTCAGAAACAACTATGGAATGAAATAGAAAGAGAAAGCACACATAAATGTTACAGTGAAGACATCAGGCACTCGATGTCATGTAATTTAAGGCCACCTTTGCATTAATTTATATACAGAGACCAGCACCAGAGCTGCTTTCTCATGGTGCAATCTGCCAAGGGAGCATATGTGACTATCATAACCACGTGAGTGGGGCTAACTAATTAGGTCTTTCCTACCTCATCATTGGCCTCCCTCCCATTGCCTTTCTGAGATTTAGAGAATTTAACTGAAAGGATATATAAAAGGTTCACTGACTGTAGGAAGGAATACTTTTTATTTCCTTAATATAACAAATGTGAATAAACAGAACTCTCAACAAAACTGTTATTGTCAATTCATCAACCAAGCAATTCATACATTTAATCTCACAGAAGGTACATTTTTAAGGATTCAGGGACCACTTCTCTTATAATTCAATAAAGAAAAGCCACCATTCATTGTCAGAAAAACTACCTTTCTTCAATAATGGGAAATGAATTTTTTCTCTACTATAATATCACATCAAAATGGTTTCCAAACTACAGGTTAAACTCTAATCAGTATTACAGATGATCCAAACATTGGTTTCAAAATTATGTACTGCAGTTGCCTGTAGTTGTTACTGTCATTAAAGAAAGTAATTCCACCCTTTGCGTGCAAAACAACTCCACATTAAAATGTCTAATCCAAGGAGGAGGAGGTACAGAGAGAGAGAAAGAGCGCACATTGGTTACTATCAGCCCTAGTGCTAAATAAGCAGCTAAATTTCAATCACATCAATTAATCCATCAAAGCTTGTAGTCCTATAGGTAACACATAGTCACTATTCACATCAGTATAACTTGCAAATATATGAGGCAGACACTTCTAAAATCTGTCCATCTAATGACTCAGAATATTTTGTAACAGAAGGCTTTGAGAATACTCTGCTGTGTATGAATGCACACATTATCTAGTGGGAGTTTCTAACAATAAACTCTCAGATTTTGAAAAGGAAGCAATTGCATGCATTCCAGAGAAATGGAAATGACTGAGAGAAGGCAAATTTTGCATTATGAACAAAGCCTGGATCTTCACAATTGTTTCCCATTTGTCTCAGTTTGTAATGGACATTCAGTTGATATATAAAGTGTATTGAATCTTCTCTCATTGTTGTCTGGCCATATTTTAAATATATGAAAAATAATGCACTAATTATTAACCATTTGCATCAAGCAAGAGAAAGACTACTCATACAAAATAAATTGTGTTCTTGGAAAAATCTCCACAGAGGATTTCAGCCGGAACTAGCAGTTATCTTGGCTTGTGCCCTGATTTAAGCAAATATATTTTCATGCAATTTGCTGTAGTAACATGCATACTTATAAATGCACTACAAACTGAAGAAAACTTCGTCAAAATGTTATTGATCTAATCCCAAGAAGGGACTTCCTCCACACCGAGTTAATACCTGATTTTCGCCATGCTTTGCCATCAGATGGGAGACAATTAATAGCCAGCAACAGTCCTGGCCTGGTCCAGGCTTATAAAAACTTGCATAAGAGAAATTCAAACACTAGCTTGTCTGCTTCCTTAGGGTTTTTTTTAATTTTTGAAGCTTCCAAAACAGTTGTAAATATTAATCTATGGAGTATGCACACGGTTGAACTGAACTAAGAATGGTGCTTTTTTAAATTAAAAGAAAACTTTAAGAAAGGCTTTTAATTAGGAAAATTAACCAAATACAATTATTTGTAACTCTCCTCTTTGAGCTTACCATCAGTGTGGGCTGTCACCAAACACAGACTGCCTATAGTTAGCATTCCTTTATCAGCCATAACACTGTGCAAATACTATGGGCTAGCACCATTATACTCTAAGATGGAATGCTGCTATTCCATGTTTCCTGCAGCTAAGTAGTGTGCATGTAGACTTAAAGTGTGATACAAGCAGTCCAAATGGAGACTACATGTAGATTGCCAGGACGGGGAAGAAATATCATGGAGAGATTGGCAGCATATTGTGGTGATTCTACATGTGCTCTAGCACCAAATAACACACCCTCTTTCTTGCTCCAATAACATGTTTCTAAGGCTGCTGCCACACACGCTAAGTAATCCACTTTCAATCCACTTTCAGTGCACTTTCAAAGTGGATTTTGCCAGTTCACACAGTAAAACTCCACTTTGAAAGTGCACTGAAAGTGGATTGAAAGTGGATTACTTAGCGTGTATGGCAGCAGCCTAAGGCTGCTATCACACACACTAAATAAACCACTTTCAATCCATTTTCAGTCCAGTTTACAACTGGATTTTGCCAGTTCACACAGTAAAAATCCAGTTGGAAAGTGTATTGAAAATGGATTGAAAGTAGATTATTTAGCGTGTGTGACCGCAGCCTATGTTGACTTAAGCTTCAGTTATGGACTTGCTTTATGGCTCCTTTAACATTACACTTTCCAACCACGCCAGTATTTTTCCCCAAGTCATTCAATGAATGAAAGCATTCCTGTGGGAGTTGCTGATTGCTTCTAACCCGTTGTGAGTTAGCTAAGCCATTCCAAGAGGCTCATGATGCGTAATCGTTTTCCTCAAAATGGGTGTCAACATCTGCCTTGCATTATATATTCAGACAGGGGAGTGACCAGCAGGTGCATTTTCATGTTAGGAATAATAATTTGGAAAATGGCTCAAATGTTTTACGTGCCAACCATTCCGCTAGCAGGCACGACCCACCTTCTTTAGCTCCTCTTGAATGGATCTGCCACTCTCTTCTGAAGACAAGCATGATTTCTGGGTCTCAGACTCTGTTCTTGGCTCCAGCCCTTGCTCCTCTGAAGAAGATTCCTTATTGTCACTCATTTTAGCAACTAGTTCAAATAATCTTGATTTGAGCTTTTCTTCCATAGACTCTGCCTTGGGTTGATGGTGTTGGTCTTCACTGCTTATGTCAGTTTCTGATAAGTCATCAGATGCCTTAAAGAGCAAGGGGACGGGAGAGACAAGAGATAGCAAATACATCTCAAAGAAAAGAAAATCAAAGTTGTATTTACAGAAGTTATTTGCACCACGGGAGATATCATCTTGATGAATGCTACATAAATTCTTAAGCGGAAACAGGTTTTCATTTCTGAGCAGCAGGTGTTCAATACAAATGCAGTCCCCAGAGGATTCAACTCCACTTTTGATCTTGCACCACAGCTTTTAAGCTCCATGTGATACCTTACACAGTCAGTTCTTCATGAGAGAAAAGGATTATTGTTATCTCTGCACTGCATATTCCTTTGAGATGTGCCAAGCTCATTGTTGTGCAATATATAAACACTTAGATTCCTTCAAGGCCCAGAATGGGAAACGTTTCCTTATTTAACACGGTTTTATTTATTTCCTGCCTTTTCCAGATGCCATTCAAACCACTATTCAATAAGTGAAAAATAAAATAACTCTAAAATGGTCACAGTGGCAAGGGCCCGGTCCTCCTGCCTAGCAATGCTCCCCCTAAGCTGTGGAGTCTTGTGAGCAAAAATTCTACTTTGTGAGCTACTGGCATTAAAGTTGTGAGTGAGCTATTTGGTTACTGCATGAATTAGTTTGCTCTTGAGTCATCTTTCCTAAGCTAAGACAAAAACATGTGAGCCAGAGGCTAAAAACCTGCGAGCTAGCTCACACTAACTCAGCTTAGAGGGAACAGTGCTGCCCACTAGTCACATTATAACATGATGACACTGAAAGCAGTGCCTTAGATCAGGGCCATGGGGTGTGTGTGCAGAGGGTTATTTGGCTTGGGCCTCAAGCTAAAAGTGGGCCACAGATTTAGATAGGGTTGCCAGGTCCCTTTGAGGTGCTGGCAGGGGGATGGGGAGAATTGCTCCAGGAGCCGGAAATGTTGCCCTCGATGCGCCTACATCACCAAAAGTGACGGCACACACTGTGCCTATGTCACCTGGAAGTGACATAGGCACGTCAGGGGTGACACTCTGGCTTTTGGGCAAAACTCTATGGTAAAATTGCCCTAAAACCATAGTTTTGCCCAAAAACCAGAGCATCACCGCACTGATGTCACCAACGTGCCTACATCACTTCCAGGTTTATTGGGAGGATTTCCTCCCATGAGCCAGTTGACCGGCGGCGGCAGGAAGCACAAAACCAGGGGATCCCCTGCCCCCAAATGGGGACTGGAAACCCTAGATTTAGATGTGTGTTAAATCTTTTGGCATTTGTGAAGTTTCATGACTTTTTACAAGTATTCAGACCAAAATATTCAAATGGCCCCAATCTATTTCTTGGTGCCTTATTTTATTTTTATTGTTTTATTTTTATTCTGGCTAGAGACCTCAAAAGTGGGAACTTGCCTGGGCCTTTCTGGGAAGGTCCACCTTCAATTTTGCAAGACCAAGAAATGGGAGGAGGCACTCTCACTGTCTTTGGCAAACCATCCTCACACTGACAAAGGTATCTGACAAAGAGACCTTTGACTCTCAAAAGCTCATACCCTTATTTTATTTATTTATTTATTTATCATATTTATACCCCGCCCATCCCGCGAACAGGCTCAGGGCGGCTAACAAAGCGGTACCATGTACCTAATTAGTATACCATAAAAATCTTAAAACTCTATAAAATCACATACTCAATTCAACACATAAATTAGCAGTTAACAATAAAGTGCATGCAGTAATAGAATTAGATGGCGTGCATTCCAGATCTCCATCTCTGATCATCATCCATCGCTCCGCTGGTCCTGGCGATATGTCTGTGCTGGACCTGGGATCCAAGCATTCACTAGGATCATTGGTGGTAACAGTAGTGGCGGCTCCTATTGGAAGGCCTGGTGGAAGAGCTCCGTCTTGCAGGCCCTGCGGTACTGTAAAAGGTCCCGCAGCGCCCTGATCTTCTCTGGGAGCTCGTTCCACCAGTAAGGAGCCGCCACAGAAAAAGCTCTGGTCCTGGTACTGGTGAGCCTTGCATCCTTGGAGCCCGGAATAATCAGTCGGTGTTGGGCCCAGACCGTAGTGCTCTCTGGGATCTATACAGGGAAAGGCGGTCCCTCAGGTAGGTCGGTCCCTGACCCTGAAAATCTTGTTGGTCTCTACGGTGCTACTGGACTTCAATCTAGCAATCCTCACCCAAGATGCCATTACACTTTGCAGATTCCCAAGGACTGCCAAGGGCAAGAGGGAGTTTGTTTAGAGAGCCAGTTTGGTGTAATGGTTAGGTGTGTGGACTTTAAACTGGGAGAACAAGGTTTGATTCTCCACTCCTCCACATGCATCTGCTGGTGTGACCTTGGGTCAGTCACAAGTTCTCTCAGAGATGTTCTCTCATGAGCAGTTTTTGAGAGAGCTCTCTGAGCCCCACCTACCTCACAGGTATCTGTTGTGGGGAGGGGAAGGGAAAGGAGATTGTAAGCCGCTCTGAGACTCCTTCTGGTAGGGAAGGGTGGGGTATAAATCCAATCGTCTCCTCCTCCTACACCTCCTCCTCTTCCTCCTCCTGTTCTTCTATTGGGGAAAATACATTTTCGGTGCCCAAAACACTAAATCAAATTGCTGGGACTGGTTTGTGTTTTTATGGCAAAAGGACCAAGTGAAAGAAAAACTTTTAAAATGAATAGGGAAAGGCACGAGGACAGACACATAATTATCTTATCTGATCATGGCATCCACTTATGAGAACTAGTTCTCTAACCATACCACCCAAACAACTGCTTGTGGTAGCACAAAAAGGGGGCACCATCAGCATTGGTCTGATAAAAGGGACTTGGAAGCCATCAGACTTTGGAGCAAGTGGCTTAGTAGGAACCTGCCTCCTTTTGTTCTCATGCAAGAGCTGGGGATCTGCTGGCATGGTCAGGCTTCAGTGACCTCTAGAAGCCTCTCTAGGAATTCAGAGCCTGTCAGTTTAATCCTTCTCATGACTGGAAAGCTACAGTGCCTTCCAGCTGGGGCTTTCCGGCTACCTGGCAAAGCAGCACTTGCTATGCTTCCAAATCTGGTAAAGGGTTAAACCTAGCAACTTCCTCCCTATTTTAGCTCCCATGCTGAATGGGAGTAATGGAACCCATCTACCCAACTGCCTACCTATGTAAAGTATTCCCATCTAGAACTTCCCCTCTACCTACCTAAGCAAATTGCCAGTAGTTGCTTATGCCTCTTCCCATCTATCTCCCTCTAAATTTTTTCATTGTGCTTATTTTTCCTGTCAATTTATTTATTTATTTATTATATTTATATTCTGCCCTCCCAGCCATGGGTGGCTCAGGGCGGCTTACAACAACATAAAAACTACAATGCATAAAATAACAGTCTTAAAATCATAGCAATAACAATATTAAAAGGTGCTAGCAATAATAATCCAATTTCCAATGACAGATATCAATTTAACATTACGTCTAAGATGGCGCTCAATTTCCATGCCATCCTAATGGTCGATCCCGATCTAATGTTATATGGGTGGCTCAGGCTGCTTTAAGATTTCAAGGGGCAGGGCATTCTCCCCTGGGGTGGCTCCTAATTGAACGCCTGGCAGAACAGCTCTGTCTTGCAGGCCCTGCGGAACTGCATAAGGTCCCACGGGGCCTCTGGGAGCTCATTCCTCTCCTGGTCAGGCAGCTACACTCAGCATCTTTAAATGTTTACTTGTATGTAAATTCTACTGAATTCAGTGGGGCTTACTTGCAAGAAAGTATACACAATATTGCAGCTTTAATTTTATGTTTCTCTTGGTTCTATCACAGTGTTGTTTTTACTCCCTCTCCTTTTCTCCCCCCTTCTCTTTTCCTTCCATTCCAATATGACAAAGTGGGCCCCCATACCTTTCTGGTAGGTCAACATAGCTGCAATGCAGTTAATAACTATTTAAATATTGGTGCACTGCTTAGTATCTAAAATGAGAAGGTGTTAGGGCTTGAAGTCATCCTCTCTGCCATGGAAACCTGCTGCCCTTCCCAAATTCCTAACAAGACCAAACTGGAGGTTTTTCAGGACATAGCAGGGCTCACCTGATCTGGATAGCCCAGGTCAGCTGATCTCATCAGATCACAGAAGCTGAGCAGGGTCGGTCCTGGTTAGTACTTGGATGGGAATTCACCCAGGACTACCAGGGTTGCTACGCAGAGGCAGGCAATGGCAAACCACCTCTGAACATCTCTTGCTTTCAAAACCCTACGGGGTCACCATAAGTAGGCTGCAACTTGACAGACTGGAACCACATTCTGTCTCTGGCTACAGCGGCTATTGTCAGGCAGTTGACGGGCCCTAAGAGGATGGACGCTGGTGGTACAGACCACATTAGAAAATGGAAACACATTGGCATGTGACACCCAGTTTTCCTAATAGATGCTTTTGGAGCAGATGTTTTTTCCTACCCTTCTTATTTGTCGAAGGATGGGGAGGCTCCTATGTACACTGCCCTGGGCATCTTGGAGGAATGGCAGTAAATATATATGAGGAATGAACTGGGGAAATCAGTTGCACAGATAAATCAATTGCAGTTCACATCATAATTGGTAATAACACAGTCTCCCTAGTTGGGTTAAGGTAACTTTAGATATATAGTTAGTATACTATCTTGATTTAAACTTTGGATAATAAATTATATTTATCATTATATTCTAATCCAGCAAGAATTTATTCAGCAACTACTTATGTTATAATAAATATCTTACTCTCTAAGGTATCATAAAACGTCTTTTTGTTTGTAATAATTTTAACCCTCATCAAAGTAAATTCTGCTAGAAGTAATAACCCATTGAAATGACTTAATAACTATTTATTAAATTAATAATAAAAGAAAATTATCCCCAAGGGAATGGTAGGTAATTTTCCACTACTGATCATGGGGGAAGTATATCTTCTGACAAAATATATCTTGTGAGTATATCTTGTGAACAAGCATATCTGCACCTAGCCCAAGCAGTTCAAGCTAAAATCATTTTCACAACAAAGTTAAAGATGCTTTTGCAACTTTTGTACACATTCAATTGAAAAACAGTCTGCACTGATATTCATATGTACATCAAACAGTAAGTGCTGAGAGAAATATTTTCAGTTGTATATGAAATATATGAAATTATCAGCCTGCAGCATGTACTGTGATAAACTCTTAAATCTGTAATTTCAAATCCCAGCCTTTCCTAGTATGGTAAATTAACGACAGGCACCACCTAGTGGAGACAAGTCCATCAAATCTCACTGTTCCTTTATCAGCAAAGATGCAGATATCCTAAGGAGAGACAGAACTCTTTTTTTAATGCCATAGTCCCAATATAGGTCCTTACTTAGGAAAATATTTTCTATAATGTGTGAGCTGAGCCCCCCGCCCGGATATATTAAGTCTTTAAAAATAACTTGTGCAATGGATTAAAACATTACTTTGTTGTAAAATGACTATTCTAAGCACAAAAAAATCTCTGTTTTCATACCAGCTTGCTACCTGGTGCTAGGTTATTTTAATTTTGCACTATTTGATTTGAACATTTTAGACAATCTTCTGTATAAGCAGCAGACAACTTGAAATTCACATACATTTAAATAACATAAAAGTTTTGCAATTGCTCAAGGATTAGCCATGACCCCGCAACTGAATGCTGGAGTGGCAAGTGGCTCTCCCTGCCTTTGCTAGCTTTAGTGGTTAAGACGCTGAACTGCAGGCTGTGGAAGGTCAGTAGTTCAGCAGTTCGAGACCTGGGTGCTGCATGATGGAGTGAGCTCCCATCTCTAGTTCCAGCTCCTGCCAACCTAGCAGTTCGAAAGCAAGAAATTGCCAGTAGATAAATAGGTACCACTTCGGTGGGAAGGTAACAGCGTTCCATGCGCCTTGGTGTTTATTCATGCCGGCCACATGACCATGGAAGCGTCTTTGGACAGCGCTGGCTCTTCGGCTTTGAAACGGAGATGAGCACTGCAACCCTAGAGTCGGATTCGACTGGCTTTCGAGCAAGGGAACCTTTACCTTTACTTCTTTAAAGCTGAGAAGTTACATGTGTTAAACAAAGGGAGAAAAGCGGGAGAAATGACTATTCACTGGCTTTCTTGAGCGCTACTGGCCTGTTGTCAGAAGGACAGCTGTATGTCTTGATATGATGGCCTGGCCACATAATTTCTGTTACATCTTAGACTACAATTACTGTAGACAACATCTTGCTTTTACTGTATCATCTTCTGGCCTTGCAATTCTACTTTCTGCATTGTTTATATTATGCCTTGTTTAAGGTATGTTGGGTTTTTTGCAATGTTTTATAATTCAGTTATCCTAGTCTTATCACATCATTCACTGAATGTCTCACGGTGTTGGACAGCATTGTTTTATGTTCTGTAATCCGCCATGAGTCTCACCAGGAAAGGTGAATTATAAATTAAGTAAACAAACAAAACTTGCCCTGTCTGTCCCATTATATTTTTCCAGATCCATTGATACAATACCAGTGAACCAATCTCAGTGCCAGCTATGGGAGGAGAATTAATAGTAGGTGAAGGGATAGGTAATGGTGGATAAGGGCAGATAAAGAAGAAGAGCTGTGGCTCAGTGGAAGAGTATCTACTTGGTGTGCAGAAGGTCCCAGGTTCAATCCCCAGCAACTTCAGTTAAAGGGATCAGGTAGTAAGTGATGTAAAAGCCTTCTATCTAATATCTCGAAGAGCTGCTGCTAGTCTGAGTAGATACTACTGACTGCGATGGACGAAAAGGTCAGTTCAAGACAGAATGGTTTCATGTGTTCATGGAAAGCAGATCAATCAATAGGCACAAGGCTGATTTAACATATTTATGCACATAAGCCTTCTCTTTCTCTTTGAGAGGGATGGCAATTTAAGGCAATTTTCTGCACAGCTTTACTATGCACTAGGGTTTTTGCTGTACACCTACATCTTCCATGTGTCAGTCACCAAACATCTACACTTTCACCCTCCTGCTAAATTTTACTGTGTGCTGCACATTCAAAATATGCATGGCAGCCTGAGCCATTTCCATATGATCTGACAGCAGTGGAGGCATCCCATTTTTAAAGTTGATTCTACAACCCACACCCTCCTGTAGATTTAAATTCAGAGCAGCATCTCCAAGAGACCCATGATCAGAAAATGTCTGAATGACAATTACCAAGTAAGATTTACAAAAAATTACTGTGCTGTTATGGAAGCCTTGAAGCTTAGGTGTTATAGATGCTGCCAAACCCTGCTATAAAGGAATTTACCAGATCTATTTTGCTAATTCAGTGCAATGTTTCAGTGCTGGCACAACTGTGATAATATCATTAATGTGAGTAAGGATTTAGTACAGAATTTCCACTGCTGACTATGCTTAGAGCACTGTGATATCTTTATACAGCTGGACAAAGATTTAATTTTATTCTGCACACAGCACATTGAATGACTTAAACTTTAATTACCTGACTTGTGCTCAAATTCTTCTTGTGGGTTTTTGAACGATTTTTGCCTTTGCATAAGTCTTCAGAGACGGCCTTGCCTTTTTTCCACCTCCTCGATCTCTTTTCTAAGTCATAGTAGGCATCCTCACTTTCGCTGCTGTCTGAATAATCTAAACTGGTAGCCTGTGGATTAAAATTTACATCTAGCTCTCCATGTAATTGTGCTTTTTCTTCTCTGGGTTTATTGTGACGAGTTCTCCTTTGTATCCAGGGAAGATGGCTAGACCCTCCAGCATCCCTTGAAGAGCCAACAGAGGATGTTTCAGAATCAGAGCACATTGTCTCCGTGTTAGTAAACAGCCCAGATGAAGGGGAGGTCACTGGCTGGTGCAGGTCATTGCCATAAGCCCATTCCAAGTTGCAGTGGGGATCAACATAATGCAGTTCTTTGGACAGCTGCTTGGGCCTTCTCCGTAGCTTGTTCAAAGCCACGTTCCAGTCGTAGTCATCTTCGCTATCCGATCCCATCTCATCATAAACAGACACAACGCTGGATTCGCTCTCCAGGACTCTGAATACCTGGCTCTTTGGCTTGGCAATCATTCGAGGGCGAGGCAAGGTGACATTTTGCAAGGCCACCCAGTTCCCATCTGTGCTTTGTAAAACAGGTGGAGGAGCTAAGAAGATTTAAGAAAAAGAATATGTCATTCAGTGATTAATTGTTTGATTTTTTTTATTACTACCTTAAGGTCATAGGTACACTCAGGTCTGACATGTTTCTCAATTACGGGTGGATGGGTGGGATTTTAGTAAGGAATTGCCTATTTTATGTTTCATATGTTGTAAGGAAATAACAATAATATTCACAAGAGATTTGCAATCTGGGTCATAGTGACCTAACAAGAAGAGGCTTTAGCAGGTTTTCACCCAGTGAGTTTCTTTTTCGAAGTATAAAAAGTGTGCAGGTTTTGTATTGTTATATCTATGGGTGATGAGGGCACACTGGTTTGGAAGCATTCTGGATTCACTCAGAACTTCAGGGATGCTCATACAGAGGATGCCTGGCTCTTCTGCATCTTGCTTAGTTACCCACCTGCATTTGTATTAGGAGTTGATTGGCTAATTATTCTGCATGTTGCAGATTCCCTGTATTAAATAAATTTGGGCTCCCTTCTTTCATCCAAAGAACTTGTGCCAGTTCTTTATTCTGCAAACATGTATGTGTGTGTTTGTCCCTGTGTGTGTGACTGGCACATAAACTGACCTACACCAGGTCTATCACAGATGCCAGCACTAACTCTCTCTTAGGTGCTGCATGAGGTTCCAATCTAGCAATGGGAAGAACCTCCTTTTCTATCTGCAGCTCCTGATCCAGAAGTAATCCTTGCACAGAAGCCTGCTTGGACCATCTTTGTGGGATCAAGTGTGATTTTCATTGTACAGGGAATATACATGCTCTTCTTAGCACACATAAGAAAACAGTATATTCAGTGTGATTTCACAGACAGAACTGATACTTTCGGATTTCCACATGATTACAAGCAGAGAAATCCCACTGATTTCTAATTTGACCTTGAAGATACAGGTTAAACTAGAGCCTTTGTGTGTCAAAGGCTGAAATTAGCTTTCATGCATTGTGAATTACATCCAGCATTTTATATTTTGGTAGATAAAAATATGAGTTCTGAATTTCCAGACGTTTAACACTCACACATTACTAAAATTCAAGATAATGAATGTCATTTGCCCTTGTTTTATGCTCACCATAGCATAAAATTATGGACTAAGTATTTTTAAATGTAGAGTTGTCTTCTGGAAACATTTCTTCATGGCCCATAAACATTACTAATGGATAAAATTTCAACAAAATAGGACTAAGAAGATTGGTTAAGTTCTTATTTTTGGTTCTGTATTTATTTAAATAAATATGGTCCAATTATACTCCAAATAGCTACTTAATCTAGACACTGAAAAGTGCTCAAGGAACACAGTTACTCCATACTAAAAGAGTTGAGGGCTTTTCCAAGACTAACACTGCAATCCGAAGCAGATTTATATCCCTCTAAATCCAATTACTTCAGTGGACTTAGAAAGATGAGCCTCTGCTGAGGAATGTACTGCAAGTCTGAAATCCTAAAACATTTACCCAGGAGTAAGCCCCACTGAATGCAGTGGAACTTACCTCTGAGTAAACATGCACAGAATCACACTGTGAATCTTTTGAAGCAATCAATGCTTGACTTGTTAACAAGTCAGCTTGTTGACAAGATACACGCATGATCTGCTACTGTTTATTCCACACACAAAATATGTGCACAAATTACTTTCTCAGTATATTAAAACATGTGTCATTAATTAGACAGATCAAATCAAGCCTGAACTCTCCCTAGAAGCTAAAATAACTAAACAGAGGCTATTATATTTTGATCATATTATGAGAAGACAACAATCACTGGAAAAGATAAGAGTGCAAGGGAAAGTTGAAGGCAGCAGGAAAAGAGGAAGACCCAACATGAAATGAATTGACTCAATCAAGGAAGCCACAAGGGCCCCCAGTTTGCAAGGCTGAGCAAGGCTATTAACGACAGGACCTTTTGGAGGTTATTAATTCACAGGGTTGCCTCACATTTGAAGCGACTTGATGAAACTTAACATACAATTAGACAGAGCTGCTCAGATCCAACTAGGGTTGCCAACTCGACTCACCCGTTGCAGCGGGTGACGTGTGACGTGTTGACGTTGGGGGCATGGCCGAGCTCATCGGGGGGAAAACCATATGGTTTTTCCCCCAACGAGCTCGGCCACGCCCCCAACGTCGGCCCCCCCGGGCCGGAATTCCTCCGCGCCGGAAATCGGGCCTCGGAAGCGGGGGATTCCCCGCCCCCCGGCCCGATTTGGCAACCCTAGATCCCACTAAAGATAACGTGTGGGAACAGTGTGTATCCCAAGCTAGATAAGGAATCATGTGAGCTGAATGCATGATTTTCTCTTGATCTACCTACACAGGATCAATAATGTCTATTGGTAAATAATTTAGACTTAACCTGTGTAAGGCGCATGGCTCTCTGTGTGATCCCTTACTGGCAATAGAATGTAACACTCTTGTCTTTCCTGCCACTGTATGTGCAAATACTTCCAGCCAGGCAAGGAAATTCAGGACATCCAAATTTATACTGAATCATGATCTTTCCCAGAAATGCTGGCCACTTCTTCCCTATCAAAGATAGATGGCCATTTCAAGCAGAAAATTCAAAATCAATAACAGTTTAATTGGTTTGTGGCTTATTGTTCTTCAGGGAAAACGGCCCAGGAAAAGTTGCTTTTCCAGCAGTCTGATGAAATTACATCATACCCACTTTCACACAGAACAATTATTTCATCTATTGTAATCCTTTACTTGGTTCGTTTAATTGGTCCACACTCTTCCAGCTGGGTAATGCAGATACGCTGTGCTCTTTTTGTTTCCTGATTGAGCCTTTTGGTTGCCTCCAGAGACTCTCTGCCACGGAAGACGTGAGGTCCGGATCTCTGCCCGATGCATCTTCATTCGTCAGTGAGAATGCAGATTGAGACCTCTGTTAAAAGAGTTTTTCATTAAAGCTTTAGCTGAAGCCAACAAATGGAAATGTTGATTACCTTCAAGAGTAACACTTTGACATTGAAACAAGTATGGTTTGCTGAAATGGTTAAGAACTAAACCTCACTAGTTCAGTTTCAGCATGTGAGCTCTGTTATCCATTTATACAGAACAGGACATTCTATGTACTATTAAATCAGCCAATGAAAGATTGTTACTAAGGTCAATCCTGCTGTATAGCAAATAGTGACTAAAAATGACAAAAAATTTCCCTGGAGCTTGTCACTGTTTAATTCTTCTGCATTTACAAACTACTAAGGACTTAGTAAGAAGGGACTGTAGCCCTTTTTCTCCTTGAAGAAAACTTCTTCCCTTCACAAAAAGTGAAAATATTGTCATAAAGCAGGGATCCCCAACCTTTTTGAGCCTGCGGGCACCTTTGGAATTCTGACACAGCATGGTGGGTGCAGCCACAAAATGGTTGCCATAAAATGGCTGCCCCAGGAGGCAGAGCCAGCCATAAAATGGTTGCTGTAATTTACCTTTGGTCACACAGTGAAGATCTTTGAGCATTGAAACAAGTATGGTTTGCTCTCCAATGGTCAATGAGAAGAAAAGCCTGTGGTGTTTATAATCTACGTTAAATCAAAGTGTTCCTTATAATGTTATTCCATGTTTTATTTTGATATACATGAAATTGTTTTATGCCTTCCTAAGTAAGAAGAAGAAGAGTTGGTTTTTATACCCCCCTTTTCTTTACCCAAAGGAGTCTCAATGCAGCTAACAATCACCTTCCCTTCCCCTCTGCATAAAAGTCACCTTGTGAGGTAGGTGTGTCTGAGAGAGTTCTGAGAGAATGGTGACTGGATCAAGGTCACCCAGCAGCCTTCATGTGGAGAAGTGGCAAAGTGACCTGGCGGTGTTAGTGTCCCCTGCCACGGCTCCAAGGCTGTCTTACTGACCGCAGGGAGGCCGGCCAATGAGCGAAGCTCCAAGTCCGGCTTGAGGGACACCAAGTCTGGACAGTGCGCTTGCACGGACAACTCATTTTTTAAAATTTTGGGAATTTAACCCCCTGGTGTATTTTTAAAAACTTTTTGCATTTTTCTGCAACCCTGGGGAGTACCCCAAGTGTGCAGAAAAATCTCTTTACCCTCCATGTGCCCCCTATCTGCAAAAATAAGTATCCATGCATAGGGGGCACAGTTGGGAATATATATATAGATGATCCTTCTGAACATGTAAAGTGCTTCCCATCAGCTATCAGACTGCTCTTCCGCTTCTTTATGTAGGTTCCATAGGCCATTTGCTGCTTCTCTTCTGTCACAAGTGACATGCAAATTAGTCACGTAGCTCTCAGAAAGGCAGAAGGTAATATAAAACTAAAGAACAGCAGCTATCTCCACCATACTAATATTAATATAAGATTTTAATCTAAAGATCTATTCAGAAAAAGGCCTAATATTTTCCTGCCAAACCAATCCATGTAACTTCCTCCATCTATAGTTCCATTTACCCCATTTGCAGAGAGATTTAAACGGCCTGATGCCAACTGCATCCTTAAAAAGCCCTTGTTAGGATGTTTCCCGTTGCTGTCCATTTTAGCTTGGTGTTATGGGCTAGATAATTAAACAGTGTTTTTTTCTGATAGTCCGGAGGGTAAACAAAATTATTAACACTTAGAATCAGTGGTGGAAGTACTACCAACTCAAAACACTGCAGATGTAAAAGGAGAGTAATCAAATTAGGTCCAATAAAGGAAGAAAAGAGACGATTACGGAATGCTGGATTTGCTAGCAAGGTATTTTAACCTGAATTGCTTCTTTAGCATTCAAGTCTCTTGAACAGCCACTACATATGACTTCTGAGGGTACTCTTTTGCACTTCGCTGAAGAGGTTTGATTATTCCTATGATATATTAAGACGACCACTTTAAGTGAGGTAGTTATCCCTTAACTGGTAATTATTTCATATTTCCCATGTGATTACCTGAAGTCCTCATTCATGGGATGATTAGCTTGTCATGGGCAACTTATATCCCACTGATTAATCAATTTAAGAATAATTACATTTTGTTCTTCTAATGAAGTGCATGCTTTTAAAAAGTGCAATACGGGGGTGCTGATTCTAGAGGCTGCTATGGATTTCATTTTTGGGTTCTAGTGTTCTTATGACTTTATGCTGACCTTTTATTGGTATGACACCAAAAACTTGACCTAGAACTGCACTAGACACTATAGTACTAGTGCTTTTAGCAAAGTTAACAGGTAGAAAGGTAGACTCAGGGGAATTCCTCGACAACCCAGTCATAGTGCCATGTATTTATTTATTTATTTTATTAAGATTTATACCCCGCCCTCCCCGCAGAGCGGGCTCAGGGCGGCTTACAAGGGGCAAAGCCCATATAAAACAGATAAAAGCAATAAAACATTCATGACAGTTAATAAAATTATACTCAATTTAACAAGATGGTCTCCAGATGGTTCTCCAGGGTGATGTTATCCTGTAGCTCAACCAGGTAAATCCAGTGGCCACGCAGAAATTGTGGCAGATCTTCCTGGGCCATCCTTACCCCGATGTTTAATCACAAATAGTACAATTCTGTTTCAAGGGGCTTCTTATGAGTTTTTGAAATGTATTGACAGTGACTGATGAAGGAAACAAGATTTTTATCCAGCTAGCACTTAAGGTGAATAGTATTAAGGGGATGTTAAATATTAAAAAGGTCTCCAGGAAAATTCTGGAAAGCTGGCAAGCCTGTCCCAAGAAAAAGCAATCACATTTCACCTGCAAGTGGCAGCCAGAATCTTTCCCCATCTGTGGCAAACTATGATTTACAGTTCACACATAGAGGGGTCTCAGTTTAATCAATGTTTACTCACTTAAGAAGCAGAGCTGAGAACAAACAAAGTGCCTGTATTTTGCTCAGACAGACATACACTGCACAGAGACAGTTTACCTAGCTAGTGTTGCTGCAGGAGGAGAGGTCAGTGTGAACTAGCAAAGAAAGTCTGATATGTTTTTTCAGTTAAAATTGTTTACAACATAAAGCTACATGTTACCAAAATTAAAAATAATTGCTAAATACTGGTCAAACTTAGGCCTCCCATTCAACTGCCAGGGTTGGGGATTTGATCAGCACAAGAAAATTGAAGAATTGATGAGCACAAGAAAAAATGGCATCCACATAGTAGCACCCTGGGAATTTCCCATGGTCTCTATGGTAAAAAGAGACTAAGGAAGGCAGTCTAGTAGCGACAGCCCAGGAGTGACATCACATCCTTCCTAAGCTCCACCCTCTCAAGGCACCCCCAAATCTCCTGGTGTTTGCCAAGGCAGTATTGGGAACCTTAAACTCAGAGCCGCAGAACAAGTTACTGAGCAATTGAGTAGAACACTGTCTATGACCTACATGGATGCAAAATGGTGATGTGTATGGATGCAATTATTTATTTACAAAATTTGTATGCCACCTCTCCAGACCTGCTCGAGACAGCTAATAACTCAAACAAACAAACAAACAAAAAGGAACCACGGAAGTCAATAAAACAAATCATGCAGAAAAATAGGTCAACCCAGTCTGGGATAACATTCAGTGCATAATTTACTCATTCTAACCTTTTAAATATTAGCTATATTAGGACGTGCTGTATGGAGAGATTTTATGTAGATAGTTAATTTTATATTAGTGTTTTTATTTATTTTTATCTGTTTTACTCCACTTCTGTATGTCTTGTGGGCCATAATGAAGACTGAATTGAACTGAAGTCAAGCCAGTGGAATAAATAAAAACAGATCTGTCATGAGTCAGCCAAGGCTCAGCGATAGTGAAGATCCTCAGGAGAAGAGGAGCTCTGTGTAGCCTGCCCTGAGTCCACAGAAGCCAACTAGCAGGAAAACAAGCTGCAGGCTTGTCAGGATTCACAGCCAACAGCCGTTACAGAGCCATCACCACCTTCCAGCCTTGGGTCAGCAGTGGAAGTCAATTGGCCATTCCCAGCCCTCTGGTATCACCTACACCCTTAGAGCACCATAGATGGAGGCTGAGAACAGCTACAGGTGAGACAGCAAGTATACTTGGAGAGGGGGGCTCTATTCTACCAACACAGAATTCAGATAGATTTAAGCATGAGAATTTTTGGTCAGTTGACTATTTGAAAAGGTGATATTGAAAATCTAGAGCTAAAGTCAGGCTTGCAATCATATAGCTAGAAAGGGGAAAAAATAATTGTTCTATTCTTATGCCTCTCATGTAATAATAAATAAAATGTTAGGTTAAGACAATATACAATAATACGAGAGGTGGAGGTCTGCGCGTATAACACCACCATGTTTTTGTTGGTGCTGCTTTTGTATAGTTTTAGCAGCTGAATCAGAGGCCAAAATGTCCAAGAAAAAAACTTCGAAGTGAGCAACAAAAACCTTATTCAATGAAAGGTAAAAAAGAAACAGAGATAACAGGATACCTTATACATAAAAGAAGACTGGTATTGGACAGAATCATTGTCAAATAAAATTTGAAGGGGATTTGAGGATTACTTTCCAGATCAAACATCTGAGACATTTCAAAGGAAGTCGGAAAAGTTCTGATAATATTAGTGAAATTTCTCAGGGACATTTGACACATCCCAAGGGTGCTGGTAGGCAGTCCCACCCCCAATACTAGATGTGGCCCAAGTTAGGATTACAGTTCTTAGAACGCAACACATGTGAACCGCCCAGAGACCCCCCAGGGATTAGGGCGGTATATCAAGTCTAAAGTTAAATAAATAAATAAATAAATCCCTAATATCAAGTCTACTAGAAAATTAGTAAGTGTAGTCTACAGCTCTGTAGATGTAGAACCTGTAAGCTTCCATTCTACCATGTTCAAAAGAATTCTCTGTGTTAGGAAAAGTTAAGAACACTTCTGATGATTTTTACACAGGGGCACACAGGACTGTGTTTAAAGATTTACAAACGCCACAGCAGAAGAATGATATACCTTCACCTGTTTCC